CAAGCTGGGAATTTTACCTTATTGGTACAACAACGGCGGAGCTCGATTGAGGTGTCCCCGTCGGGCTAAGAGTCTGCCCACACACACAAGAGCGGAATCATGACTTTTCATTTCAAGTTTAGAAGTCGTGCTTATAACTCAGCACACCTCTGTGGTCGGAACGTACTTCATTACTGTCGAACCAAGTGCGTCGACGACGATGTCTAACTGTAATGTTGTTTGAGCTTTTCAGCATTCCATGGTTGAAAACGTTCTTACCATGTAGGTTTTCGAGGTAGTAGGCCCCGTTTCCCGTTTTCGTTCGGACACGATAGGGGCCTTCCCAATTCGCGGCAAGTTTTCCCTAGTGCAAATCTTTCTGATTTCTCCGCAAGACTAGGCTGTCGATTTAGAATTCGCGCTTGATGACTTTGGCGTTATTTTGTGTGGTTATTTTTTGTTTCAACGAGGCTTCACGGAAGGCTGCTCCCGACCGAATTTCTTTGATAAGGTCAAGTTCCTCCCTTAGTGCCTCGTCATTCATCTCCTCGTCGATGGGAGATTCGGTCCGCCTAGAGGGCTCTCTAATTTCCACTGAAATAATTGCCTCAGTTCCGTAGGTTACTTGGAACGGAGTCTCCCCGATGGTCGAGTGTGAGGTCGTTTTGTAGGCTCAGAGTACGCTATGTAGCTCCTCAACCCACCTCTTTTTAGCTTCGCCTAATCTTCGTTTTAGGCCATGCAAGATCACTCTGTTCGTGGCTTCAGCCTGCCCGTTTGTTTGCGGGTGCTCAACAAACGTGAAATGTTGCTTGGTGCCCAGTTTGATGACGAACTCCTTGAAGTTTTTGTCAGTGATTTGCGTCCCGTTATTAGTGAAGAATACCTGTGGTACGCCAAACCAGGCAAGTATGTTTCTCTTGTAGAAACAGAGTATGTTATGTGTTGTGATTTTGGCAAAGGCCTCAGCCTTTATCCACTTTGAAAAATAGTTGAAGCCAACTATCAAGTATTTATCCTGGTACGACCCCATGGTGAAGGGGACGAGGATATCCATCCCCACGAGGCGAATGACCACGGGGACGAGAGCGTTTTAAGCTCGTTGGGAGGTGCCAAATGCATGTCCCCGTGATGTTGGCACTTGTCGCACTTCTTGATAAGTTCCTTCGCATCCTGCTGCATAGTGGGCCAATAATATCCCGCTCGCATGGCCTTTCGAACGAGGGATCTTCCTCTGAGGTGTTAGGCGTTGATCCCTTCGTAGATCTCTTAAAGTATGTGGGGGACCTTGGACTCATCGACACACTTGAGAAGAGTGATGGAGAATCCTTGCCTGTATAACTTATCTTGGATTAAGACGTCAGTGCAAGCTCTGCGCCTGACTATGTTAGCTTCTTTCGAGTCGAGGGGGGGGGGAGTTCCCTCGTGGTGAGGTATGTGTACATTGGGGTCATCCAGCAGTCGATGGCGTTCACATCGATGTTCGCGATGGGTTTCTCGATACTTGGTCTAGAAAATACCTCCTGGATGACGGACTTGTGTTCTGCACTTCTTTTTCGTGCTTGTGAGCTATGACAGGATGTCTGCTCCAGTGTTGTGTTCGAGAAAACATGCTTTACTTCTGCGGAATCCATATTCTTCATCTTTTCTTTGACCAAGGTTAATTACTCAATGAGGTTGTCGTTTTTGGCTTGGTACTCTCCCCGTACTTGAGAGGTGACGAGCTGAGAATCGATAAAGATCTTTACCTCTTTCGTGCCTAAGTCTTTAACTAGGCGTATCCCTGCGAGGAAGGCTTCATACTCAACTTGGTTATTCGAGGTCGGGAAGGATAAAGCGAAGGAGACTTCGATCAGGATGCCTTATTCATTCTCAAGAATGATGCCCGCACCACTTCCTGTCGAGCTGGATGCCCCATCCATGTAGATGGTCCACTTGCGGGCTCCGTCTGCCGGGGAGATTGGGGCAGTCATTTCTACCACGAAGTCGGCCATCACTTGAGCTTTGTGGGCCTTACTACTCTCGTACTGGACGTCGAACTCAGAGAGTTCCAGCGACCATTTGAGCATCCTACCGGCCATGTCGGGACGGCCGAGTATTTGCTTCACGGGTTGGTCGTTCTGCACCACGATTGTGTGAGCCAAGAAGTAATGTCGTAACCTTTTATCCGCATTGATGAGGGTCAGAGCCACCTTTTCGATCTGCTGATATCTAAGCTTTGCTGGTGAAGTAAATAGGTTTCTTCCCCTCGGGGGTCTCGCGAATGAGAGCCTCGCTGACAGCCTCGGTTACGACGGCGGGGTAGAGGTACAAATTCTCCGTTTTCTGGTCGTGAGAGGACTGAAGATTGTGAAAGAACTCGTTTGAGACTAATGAGGGCTTTCTCGCACTCCTCTTTCCATTTAAACGCGGCTTTCTTGCGCAGAAGTTTGAAAAATGGAAGTGCGTGTTAGGCAAACTTAGCCACGAAGCGAGACAGTGAGGTGAGCATCCCGTTTAGGGATTAGATCGATGTCTTCGAACTCGGTGTTAAAAAATCGGAGAACTCCTGTCGAGGTTCGCTTTGATTCTTCATTTTGTCAAATAGAAACCGATGAATTTTCTTGCTCGAACGCCAAAGGTGCACTTCTCCAGGTTGAACCGCATCTCGCACCTCCTCGCCGTGTCGAAGACCCTTTTGAGATGGAAGGTGTAGTCAATTTCTTCTTGGGATTTCAAAATCATGTTGTCCATGTAGACCTCGAGCATGTCCCCGATCTCACCTCAGAAGACTTTGTTCATCATCCACTGGTAAGTGGCGTCAATGTTTTTTAGGCCGAAAGGCGTTACGTTGTAGTAATAGTTGCCCGACTCGGTCATGAAAGTCGTGTATTGCTTGACTGTTTTTGCCATGGGGATTTGGTCGTATCCCGAATATGCGTCCATGAATGACAGTAGCTTGAAACATGCAGAGTTGTCGACTAATTTGTCGATGTTAGGCAAATGATATGCATTTTTGGGGAAGGCCTTATTAAGATTGGTATAGTTAACACACATACGCCACTTTCCATTAGATTTATTAACTAATACAATGTTAGACAGCCAAGTTATGTATTGGGCTTCAGAAATAAAATTTGCCTATAGGAGGTCTTTTACAGCTAATTCAGAAACCTCTATTCTTTCGGGAGACTGTCTACGCCTACGTTGTACTACGACCCTAGCGGTCAGATCTATGGTCAGTTGATGACAAGCGACGTCGGGGTCCAGCCCAGGCATCTCTATAGCGCTCCACGGAACAAATCAGTGTTTTCCCTTAGGCAGGCCTTCAGTTGCTTCCTCGCTAAGTCGGAAAGTCCTTTTTTGATCTTCACGCCTCTATCTGGCTCATCGCCGAGGAGGATGAGCTTGAAGTCGCCATCTGGAATGGGGAGCATAGGATGGAGAGGTTCCCTATCATTCCCAGATGTTGGAGATGTGTCTGACGCTGCTCCTTTCTGCTTCTGCTCGTCGATGAAGCGGCTGTCGAGGTTGACTAAATTGACGCAAGACAACGACTTCTGCTCCTCGGACCAGGTTGGCTTGCTAGCAGTCTTGGGCGTCATGTTGATCGAGTTCATCCTCTTCGTTGCTGCTTCGAAGCATCTCCTCACGCCTCAATATCCACGTAAAGAGTGACGACACATCCCTTGGTCATGTAGTACTTCATCTTCAAGTGGGTCGTGGATGACACGGCGGTCAGCTTGGCCATAGTCGGTCTTCTTAGGATGCATAGGTATAGAGATGGGCACTCCATGACCAGGAAACATACTTTGACCTGTCTGGCGATTTCCTCGGCGCCGAAAGTGACGAGCAACTCAACATAGCCCCAGGCTTAGTAGTTGTGTCGTTGAAGCCTTGCAGGTTAGAGCCTACGTACGGTGTCAGATGCCTCTCGTCGAGCTTAAAAGTGGTGAACAGATGGGCGTACATAATGTCTACGGAGCTCCCTTGGTCGACCAGGATGCGGCGAACGTCGAAGTTCGCCATTTGTGCTTTCACGAGTAAAGGAATCCTGGAGATGGGAGAATCGCCCGACTACTCCTCGAGGTAGAAGGCGATGAGGTTCCCACAGGCGGCGCCATTGATCTTATCGAGATCAAAAGTTCAATCAGCGGCCAATAACACATCGTGAGCTCCAAGTTCACTGGTGATGGAGAAGAAGAAGGAGTGTACCTGCAAAACACTCTGATGCCAAAATGAGGTTCAGAGTGAAAGAGAGAAAGCAAGTACATAGACTTTAGAATATCTGACCCTCTAGTGGAGGAGGGTATTTATAATGTGCCTCCAGCGCTGGATCAACAGTCATCTACTATAGGCTGGATTGCAAAGCCCACAACAGATGACTGACAGGATCCTATGTGAAAGTAGGAAAGGCTCGCATGTGTTCTTCGTTCTGGGTCAACTTCCCCACGAATTCCAGGGAGTGAATGACCTGTTTTCACAGAAGTAGATTCAATTGGTGATGTGTTCCCGCGTGATGAGCACGTGTGGAGATCGTGGCCTCCAACGGCTATGGAGGATTGGGTCTGCATTAGACTCTCCTTGGAGCGGAGTTGGGTTGAGCCGTGCCCGATAGTGGATCAGCCACAAACTCAGTCCAGAACAAATTTATTAAAAATGTAATAATAATAATAATAATAATAATAATAATAATAATTATTATTATTATTATTATTATTATTATTATTATTATTATTATTATTATTATTTAATCAAAAAATAATAATAAAACAAGTTATGATCAATTCTATTGTAAAAAAAAAAAGTAAGATAAATCCCAAAGCTAGAAAACAATACCTTGAATATATTTACAACATGAATAAAATCAAGAGGAATCATTATAATTATTGTAATCAAAGGCACTTGAATTCAAACTCTAATCATGATGATGAAAGTTTCTCAATGAGATTGCAACATTACTTGAGTTATATTCGTTTTGCACATATATATTGAAACACAGTCAACAAATTCAGCAATGTTTCATTCCTTCCTTATATGCAGCATCATTGTTTATGACTTTTCCCTTTCTTTGATTTGTTCTTCTCTAGCATCTTTTTCTTCTTTTCTTCAGCAGTCACCCAAGTATAATCTGGAGGAATCGCAAATGGGTCTGGAGTATTTTCTATCCTACTGCTGGAACCTGCCGCAGATGAACTAGGCCGGTATGGAGCCTTTATCCACTGAAACCAAGACGAAGCCGGCAAATTTGTTGCTATAGGACTCTCTTCGCCGGATGCAGATGGACTTGACGGCGGCGTTGCAAATTCATCTAATGGCTGTAGTTCTTCAAATTTTGTAAAAGTAACCAATACTCGAATGGTGGGAACCACGGGAATCGCAACCTGAATGTGCAAACAGGAGCAACATGTGAAAACATATAAGAGATAAAAAGTCATAAAATGGAGTAACCCTTTTGATGTTTTTAATCTGTTTAAACGCGGCAAAAATACAACAAATCAACATAATAGAGTTCAAGAACAAAGGAAAAGCCTTCAAATATGTAGCTGAAAAAGTAAATTAAATCTGCATGTCAAGAATGTTTGGAAAGAACAAGGTTTAACTTCAAGTCTTGATCTTTTGCGCTAAAACTAAAACCAATATGTCCTAGCTAGCCCGGGGGTAGAAGGACCCGGAAAGTGTTTCAATATCAAGTTGAGATAAGGATAGCAGCCCCGTTTCTGAAGAAGCTCGATAAACATATATTAGTTTTTATCAATTCCAAAAAATGCATACAGAGAAAAGTACAGTAAACAAGCAAGAATATAGTGTATATTGTTACACGATATAAAAGAAAACAAAATTGGTACGAGTTTAATAATCAGACATATTCTCAGAATATTCATATTTTAGCAACAGGTATTATTAAATTGAAGATGATGAGCAAGCACTGACCTTAACAGGAAAAGTTCCCATTGGAAGTTTTGTTGTAAGGAGTTCTCTTAAACGACGAATGGCTTTAACTTTGTTTGCAACAATGTCTAGCAATGGCAAGAGTTCTTCAATTTTTAATGGAAAGTTTGGGGAAAGCCAAAGAATAGGCCTCAACCCTTTCTTATATTCATTTTCACGACTTCCATCCTTGTGCCGATTTCTGCTATCAGAATTTGCAGAAGAAGCTTTGGCCTCTTTTTTCCTCCGCTGCTCATCACCCCTCACAACTACCTCAATAGAATGTCTTCCTGGCTTAATCTGATTTGTCGAAGGAGAATCTCCCAACAAATCGCTAACCTTTTCTTCTACGCAAAGAGAATTTCTTGCTGGCACAAACTTTTTTGACGCTATTTCATGTTTAGAATCTTTTTTTCTCCATCCACCAAACCATCCTTTCTTTTCCTGCTTATTTTCTCCACTAGTGCTGCCGCTCGCGTCTTCAATAGGAATATCCCTAAAGCTTTGACGATGTGGAATGATCACCTCATCACTATCATTGTTCTGTTCTGATGAATCCAATTTAAGTGCATCCTCCAACTGTCTTCTTTCATCTTCAGTCAAAATATCATTAAGTTCTTCACTCTCGGTTTCATTTCCATTGCAAGTCGAGAATAACTCGTCGTCTGTCATAGCTCCCGGAACTCCTCTAGATTTTATACTTACAACAACATTGTGCATATCGTACACCTTAGCTTTCCAAGGTCCTACCATTTCTGTTTTCTCCTGCCGCCTCCAAGTCAACTGAGGCAGAAGAACTGCCTGAGTAACATCAATCCCGGGCCTAAATATATTTGTTTTAGACATTGCAGCCACTTCCTGCTGAACTTCTTCATCGTTTGCCGCAAAGGCCGCATCGTCTAGAGCATTCAGTACCTCTCTTTCCTTGTGCGAGATCATGCAGAGTGATCCAGGCTGGACTTTCCCATCCTCCGAACCATCACCAAGAAAAAGAACACTTTGATCTGATCTCTGAATTCTAAAACCGTCAAAACCTGCCAAAGTCATGTCAGCCCTTAGATTCGCACCTCTTTTCCAAATCTTGTAAGTGTCCGAAGGTGCAATCCTTGAAATGAAAGGAATCACAGAACTCTCGAAATTGAACGTAATCTCCATATAAAAGTCTCTCATCCTTCGCATGGTCGCTACCAAACGAGGCAACCTTCTACACCATTTCGCCCATGCAAGAGGCTGATAATGCTTAATAATAATCTTAGCAATACGCTCTTCCCGACTGCAAATAGCTTCTTGTAGAGCACTCCACCCTTGTTCATTCTGCAAACTCCAATCTGCACCAACAACCATAAGCATTTCCGCCGCCACTTCATCCCCTAATTTCACAGCTAAGTGAAGAGGTGTATCACGATTCGGCACATCCCGACAATCAATCACAGCCGAAATCACATCTGCCTTCGCTTCCTCTAAATTCGAAACAGCCTCGGATCGAATCTCCGCCACATTACACAGCTTAGGTAAACCCCCAAGTATCCTCTTAAGCTCACCATAATCCTTCAAAATCACAGCCTTATGAACAGGACTATGACCAAACTTTGCAACATCAATCCCTGCCATAACCCAATAGCCCAAGGGATAGATGGATGCAATGAAACACCAACCCACACCAACAACCACAATCACAAACACAAACACAAACACAAACACAAACACGCCAGCATCAAAAATCAAAACTTTTCCCAATTGGGACACCAGAAACAATCCAATCCAATCCAATCAGCACTGAAAAAACCCCTTGTTCACAAGAAAATGGTCCCTATGCCTATGTCCATTAGAAATGAAAAAAGAGGGAATTAGAAAGAAAAACATGATGTGGGGTCAGAGATGAAGAATAGAAAAGATTGTAAAGTAAGTTACTAACCTTGTTGTTTGGTTGGAATGATTATGAAGAAAAGTGAAATTAAACCCCACAAGTAACGTTAGAAGTAGGAAACAAAAAGGGAAAATAGCAAAGATCCTTGTGATCCAATCCAGATCAGACAAGCATGGAGAGAACATGCAAATGAAAAAAATCTATAATAAAAAAATGATGAAAAGATAAAAAATAAAGAAAATCAGAAAACACAAGACACAAGAAAGAAAGTGTAAAGAGTTAGGGAGAAAAGTGAAGAAAGGAATAGAGAGAGAGAGAGAGAGATCTAAGAAAAGAGAAAAGGGCAGAAAGAAAGGAAAAGAAAGAGAAAGATGTTTATGTTGTAAAAGGAATATCTAAAAATGGATAAAGAATTCAAAGTGATAATAAAGAGTTAAAAATGAAATTGAGATGAAAAGAATATAATGGTGGAGTGAGTCAAGGTCTACAAAATCATGTCGTGTCTATGTGTGTCTCCAAGACCTTCTCAGAGAATTTTCTAAGTCAATTATAATATTCTAAGCCTTCAATTTTGAAAAACAAAATTATCTTTTTTAATTAAATTTATTTTTAGTTATTATTATTATTATTATTATTATTATTATTATTATTATTATTATTTGATCAAATTAATTTTTAGCTTTTCGGTGGATTAAATTTAAGGAGGGTAAAATGGATCTTTGAAGATATTTTTTTTTTACCCAGATTAACGTTTTAAGTCTGTGTACTTTAACTTGTTGGTTCTGATCCACTCTATTTTATTGTAAGTTTTTGCAGGCGCAAACATTAACATGAAAATTTATAATTTTTTGATCAAAAAGGTGCGATGACCATAGATCCAATCTGTCAAAAGTTTTAGGTTCGTCTCATCCTATTTTTTTTGGTAAGTTTTTGCAGGATAGATCTAAACGGAACGAACATGCCTATTTGTTATCCCTAATTTGAACGCATCAATTTGTCTACAAATCCTAATTCAATGGGTAAAAGTCATTATTGCAAGTTGAACATTATTATAAGAGTTCGAACTCTGAAACTCATGGTTTCGTGAATTTTTTGTGATTATTATATGTTCATCTAAAAGAAATAACTTTATACCTCATATATTTAAAAAATATATTATTTTTTATTTTTAGTTTAATTAATAATATTTACTTTATCAATTATTATTATTAGGTCTTTAAATATAAATTTTATTTATTGTTACAAATTGATTTGTTGACCATTTAATTAATTACTATTTTTTATAAATTCGATATTATATCTATACAGTTATATATATTAATTGTTTTAGATACATTTATTTCCTCCGTTCTATAATAAGTAACTTAATTAGTTAACTGTTTTAAATTTTTTTAATTAAATAAATAAAAGAGACAATGTTGTTTGTATTAAAATGTTCATTATCAAATATTGAAATTTATTAAAGTAGTAATGATTAAAGGTTATAATTGAAAAAATAAAAATTAATTTGTATTGAAAATTAAAATGTATCTCATTTTAAAACATTTATTTAATTTTAAATGGTCACTTATTGTGGAACTAATAAAATAATATTTAAGTGTTTTTAAATAACTTAATCAATTTTTTGAATATATTTAGAAAGAAAAAAAGTCACCAAAAAAATACATATTTTAGAATTTTAGAATTAATCAATATTTTTATAACTCAGAATCTATAATTAAATCAGAATAGAACATTTCATCTCATCTTAGGTTTTTTAATTAATGAACTACACTTCTATTATTTGGGTTATTTAAAAAGTAACAACACATATATTAAGTACGGAAAATTTGAACATAAGTTGAAATATTTATGCATTAAAACTGTATTCATGTACTTGTAGTTTTGTAATTTAAAGTAATTGAAAATAAATACAAATTATATATATATATATATATATATATATATATATATATATATATATATATATATATATATATATATAATGCGAACTAAAAATTTAATCCTTTTTATTTTGTTTGCTTATAAAAAAAATTAAGAACAATAAAATTCAGCAAAAGATACTATAAATAATTTTAGATGAATAAGTTTTTATATGTAGTAACATGTTTTACCTAATTAAGGGGAGAATGTAATCATAAGAAAGGAAAGGAATTTGTAACTTTTGGTGATGAACTTTTATGTGAGAAAAAAAGTGATGTTGGATAAGAAGAAGGCAGAGAAAAAGTTAGCAGAAGGAAGGGTCCATTTGATAGAAATGATGAAATGGAAAATGGTAAGATATGCATGTGATACACAAAAGTAGCTGTCTCCTTTTCTATTTTCTTACGGTAAATAACTAGGTAGGATTTAATAGAAATAAGTGAGAAAATTTGTTCTACTCTTTGGTTAACTATGTATTTATATTTTTTTACATGAGAGAAAAAGAAAAAACAGAATTACATGATGTTAAATAACATATCTCTATAGCATCTCATAAGCGCGACCACATTATGTTATAAATAACATTTGAAGTAAAATGTTTTGTTAAGATATCAGACATTTTGTTTCGAAGTGATTCATGATGGGTGGAAAGTAACATGTTGAGTAAAATGTTATGTTATTTTATATAAGGTTGTTATTGACGGTGTGCAAGAAGGCGTATCACATAAGACCTCAATCTTCATGTTTTATATCTGATCTATGTTGTTGTATATGTTTTTTAGCTGTTTAGCTCATATGTTTATTGTAATTATTTGCTGGTGGTTGTTTATTTAATTTTAGATACATTTCAATTTATCTCTTTTTGATGTTGTCAAAGAGGGAGAAGTTGTAATGAGTCTATAATTGTTTTATGTGTTTTTATGCTGTATGTGGTTTGTGTGTAATGTTTCAGGGGAGCGAGCATAAGCGTTTTTCGCGTCATACTCAAAGTTGATTCAATTATAAGAAAAAGCTTAAGTAAGTGGAATAAAATCTTTTATGTTTTTTATTTGAGTTGGATATAAAGGAAAATCTAAAAGTGCTTTTAAAACTTTGAAAATTTGAGATTTTATGTGTTTGATTCGAAACGTGAAAATCAAACACACTTTCTGATTCAAATCAAATTAGATAGAGGCAAAATTGAGATTTTCTAACTATTTGATTCGAATCAATTTTTATACATGATTCGAATTAATTTCTTACCGGTCACCTCTGCTTGATTTGATTCGAATCAAACAGTTTTTCAACATTTTATTAAGCTTTGACTTGTATATAACGTAATGTCAAACTCTTCTACATAAACTGTACTTGATTAATGTTTCTTTAATCTTCCAATATCACCAAACTGCTCCAAGTCTTTGCATATAGCAATCAACCCCTCGATCCTACCGATTCCTTGAGCGATAAATTGTCAGGAGATTTGAGAAGAACTTTGCCTTATCCGTCGTCTTCCACATAGTCACTACTAAGGCAATTATAGAGAGAACAACCTACTTCTTTTCAATGAAATTTCTCATCACCATTGACAATCACCACAATCTTGGCAAACAAATTGAAAATCTCAACAAAACCTCCTTCAATCAATTATCAATCTCTCGTTATCAAGATCTGAATCAAATTGAAGTTGAAGATGTAGGAATTTCGTGGCAAGAACTTGAACTTTCAAAACAGAGTAAATTGATTTTTAGCTAAATCACATTGACTCAAGACTTTCCTTCTCAATCAATCTATTTGATTAAGACTTTCACCGCTCAAGCACATAGCAAGAGACTTATGTGGCTCAAGCATCTTGCATCGAGACTTCCTTACTTGTATCTCAATGGTACAAAACTTCTGCTCAATCAATCCACTTGATAAAGACTTTCACAACTCAAGCACATAGCAAAATACTTATGTGACTCAAGCATCTTGGCTCGAGCCTTCCTTGCTTGTATCCCAATGACACAAGATTTTTATCTAAACTTTTGAACAAGTTCAGCAGAATAGAGAACAAGGTGTGCATGATACAAGTATCAAAGGTACGAGAAACCACCATAAGAAAGACCTAAAGTACTTAAGATTTCTAAGATATTTAATGTATAATAAATATTAAGGCTTTTACAATTACAACCTACATCAGAAAAATCTGCATATACATTGAGTTGATAATTATTGATCTTGTTACTTCTTCTTTTGGTTGATCCTTGTTAAAAATTCAGTTTGAACCTTCAGCCATATTTATAGCCTTTTACAGAAGCTAGCAATGCAACAACTCTCAAAGTATGCTTAATGTAGAACAGACTATGATAATAATATTTACAAGTATAAGAACATGCACACATATAACACACATCAAATAAACCATTGTTCTTTCAATACTTTGTTATAATCAAAACTCAAGGAAAATATGTCATGAACAATTCTTGTTCTAACAAACATCATGATCAAGATCAAACCTAACCAATGGTTTATGCATGCTAAAAAAAATCTTTTCAAACTTGATTCGGAGAAGTGCATTCATGAAGGATACTAAAAAATCAAAAGTAAAACCAAGATGAAAGTGATAAGACAAGCAACAAAATAACTGTATTTAGGTGTTTCCCATGTATATAGTAGGGACATGAAACTACACTTAACTTTTGAACTCATACCCTTAAGGTGGTCTACCCCACCACGCCCCGCTTTTTGACGGGCTTAAATGAGGTAGGTTGTCTGCTTTATCACCCCTCGTGGCAATGTCAACAGCTAACTATAAAAAAAATTACATTTAAAATTTTCAACTTTTAATTAAATCAATTCACAA